CCACCCAGTTATATCCTCTTATCCCCAACCAACTCATCAGTCCCAATCCAAGTCATCTCTCCTTCACAGTTAACCCCCAACAGACTTTTAACTGTCCAACTGGCTTGAACTGGCCTGATCCAAGCCACACCTACTAAAACTCAAACAGTCTCTTTCCTCTGCCAGAACCTACCACTGAGTAACCACTGCTAAACAGGCTTGTCACATTATAACAAAAGAAAGCCTTGTGGCAGACAAAGACATAACACATCTTCCTTTTAAACGTAGACATAACCAAACGCATACATAGCATTTCTCCTCACTGAAAATTGCAAAGGAAGTGTGAGCTCTTCTCAGGCCTTTAACTTTTGTGCATGCCCTGTTTGGGTCTGGAACAATATGCCCTTTCTTTCTTTCTTTCTTTCTTTCTTTCTTTCTTTCTTTCTTTCTCTCTCTCTATCTCTCTCTCTCTCTCTCTCTCATTTTGGTCTGCAGAGTGGCTTGCAAACTAGGGCTTCAAGTGAAAAAGATCACTTGAGGAACGTCCCCAAGCTACACGCCTGTTTATTCAAAGTGAGTGAAACCCAGGCTGCATACACACATTTTATTCTAGAATCAATTGCTAGCTTTTTCTACATAATCCACCCACAATCTAGATCTGTTCCATAGTCCTTGCCCATGAAAAGCACCTCTTGAGAAATGGGCTTCCTTCTGAAAATAAAAGCTCATTGATTCTGCATTATCAAGCAGTGTGTGCATTTGAAAACAGATATAGGCAGTCCCAACAATGGTGTGTTTCCCCGTGTGTGTACACACCTGGCAAATCATGCTCTGGATGGGCATCTACCAAAATCATGATCACCACTTCAGATATGTCAGCCATACATATTTATTCCAGGTATGAGAGAAGAAGAAAAAATCCTCTCTGTAACTTTTGTGGCTGTATATTGATGCTGCATAACTGTAGGAACATTTTGGATATTTTAAAGAAGTGGGTATGCATTTGGAGATGGGAGGGTCATACAGTAACTCACCAGTACTCCTCCTGGCTCTCTAGCCTAGTGGGCACCTTTTTAAAAAAAAAACCCAACTTCATTTATTTATTAATTAAATTTCCTACCCGCCCTTTACCACAAAATCCCAGGACAATTTACAACAATAAATTATACAATTATAAAACAAAATAAAACAGTTACATAAAACACAAAAAGTGCAAAAACAAAAATAATTTCATATAAAACAATTCCATATATAAAAACAGTTAAGAACAGTTTTAATACAGATGCAGACGGGGGGCGGGGGATGAACACATTATATCATCAACATGTTCCAAATGGTATCATTTTATAAAACCAGACAAAGGGCTACCCTAAGAATATAATATACAGTGGTGCCCCGCAAGACGAATGCCTCGCAAGACGAAAAACTCGCTAGACGAAAGAGTTTTCCGTTTTTGAGTCGTTCCGCAAGACGAATTTCCCTATGGGCTTGCTTCGCAAGACGAAACGTTTTGCTAGTTCTTGCGAGTTTGTTTCCTTTTTCTTAAAGCCGCTAAGCCGCTAATAGCTGCTAAGCCGCTAATAGCCGCTAAGCCGCTAATAGCCGTGCTTCGCAAGACGAAAAAACCGCAAGACGAAGAGACTCGCGGAACGGATTAATTTTGTCTTGCGAGGCACCACTGTAAAGGTAAAGGGACCCCTGACCATTAAGTCCAGTCGCGGACGACTCTGGGGTTGGGCAATCATCTCGCTTTACTGGCCGAAGGAGCAAACATTTGACCGCAGACAGTTTTTCCAGGTCATGTTTCCAGCATGACTAAGTCGCTTCTGGTGAACCAGAGCAGCACACGGAAATGCTGTTTACCTTCCCGCCAGAGTGGTATCTATTTATCTACTTGCACTTGATGTGCTTTCAAACTGCTAGGTTGGCAGGAGCTGGGACTGAGCAACGGGAGCTCACCCCGTTGCAGGGATTCGAACCGCCAACCTTCTGATCGGCAAGCCCTAGGCTCACTGGTTTAGACCACAGCACCACCCCCGTCCCTTAGAATATAATATACTGGGCTAAAAAATATTACATCATACAAGCAAAATCCTGCAGTTGTGATTTCATGCGATTTATTTTAAGTCAATGAAACCCAAGTGGAACAAATATCTTTCTTTTAAAGAAAAGAGACGCAAAGAAAAAGGAACAAAAGGAAATAAACAAAAACTTACTTAATTTGCCTGACCCCCTAGGACTTTTTCTTTGACAATGCCACACCATTTCTGCATCTTTCTAGGAACCATGGGGAGTCAGGAACAAATATTCCTCTTTAACAACAAGCAAACTGAGGTTGCGATGTCAGTGACATTCGCCCCAGGCCAGCTAGTGAATCCATGACAAATATGTGGTTTGAATCAAGATCTCTCAGGTCCACACCAACTGCCCTAAATTCTGAAGCACATGTGAAATACTTGATAGAAGCTGAAATCACATTACTATACAACAACCGCTCTCCTACCCTCCGTCAAAAGCAGCGGAAAAACACTTTCCAATTATTTCACATTCACTTATCCCGACTTTTGAACATTAAAATGTTAACATGATGATAATCAGACTTAAATCAATTACTGCGTAATTGCTGAGTCAATGGGAGCATGGTTAAATATTGATAAGAGTCTTAAAGCTCCATCAGGATGTATTGACAACCAGAGTGACGAATGCAGCCCTTATTCAAGAGGAAAACTGGACAGCAAAGGGTTGAGTTTATTCTTATTGCTGCTGAGAGCATGGGCAATCAATATGGACTGCCTGTGCTCTTTTAAGCATGGGGCAGGGCTGGCATCCAAGGGTTATTTCCAATCTTTTTCATCCTGAGATTTACGTGGCAGAGATACTACATGTCATAGGGCAAAGCATTTGACTTAAAAAATAAATAAAAGAATATCCAATTTGCAGATTAAAAATATTTGGATGGAAGCAGGGCATTGTTCTTTCTGCTCAGAAAGGCATAGCTTTTCTCTGCTTAGCATTCTCTAATCATAATAGCCCCAAGCCTCGCTCACTCCAGTGGCAATGGTTAAAAATTATAAGTCATTTTACTTGGACAGATAGATACCAAATGGCTGCGAGGATTTTTAGCCACCTGATACAATTAGGTAAAGCTGGGTCACATTTTTAATTATACTGAGCTTTGGTCTGCTTACCATGCATACCCAAGGAGAAAGCATGTTAAATAGCTTTGTGTTGTTGGCCACTGAACATAACAAAAATAAGCAAAAATAGCAGTTAATAGATAATGTGGATCGAACAAAATTGCTGCAGAACTACAAACGCTGAATGGAGCAAAGAATTAAAATAGAGAAAAAGCATCTTCACCAAAAATAACAATTAATGGTTACTTCAGGTATCCCATGGCCCTTCATCTGGTTTCAGAAACAGCCTGGACAAAGTTTGCATGTCTGGTTTTTGGCTCCTCACATGCTCACCAGCATGTGGACATGAACAGGGCTGCTAAGTAATCAATGAGTTAAGTCTATAGCCTGGTTTGCATGACACAGTATGCCAAATTCAAAGTGTTAGTGCTGACCTTTAAAGCCCTAAATGGCCTTGGCCCAGTATACCTGAAGGAGCGTCTCCACCCCCATCGTTCTGCCTGGATGCTGAGTTCCAGCTATGAGGGCCTTTTGGCGGTTCCCTCATTGCGAGAAGCGAAGCTACAGGGAACCAGGCAGAGGGCCTTCTTGGTAGTGGCGCCCGCCCTGTGGAACGCCCTCCCATCAGATGTCAAGGAAATAAACAACTATTTGACTTTTAGAAGACATCTGAAGGCAGTCCTGTTTAGGGAAGTTTTTAATGTTTGATGTTTTATCGTGTTTTTAATATTCTGTTGGGAGCCGCCCAGAGTGGCCAGGGAAACCCAGCCAGATGGGTGGGATATAAATAACAAATTATTATTATTATTAGTAGTAGTAGTAGTAGTAGTAGTATAAACTATGGCATACCAAGACTGTGTGAACCTGTGAGCTCCTGGAGATGTGCTTGAAGCTCTGCTTCTCCCCGGTTCAAAGTTTGTCCTCTGTTACAGCTTATGGTTATTAAGGAGATGGCTTAACCATGAGTCTCAGCCTACACACACACACACACACACTATATACATTTAAAGCACTTCACTAAGGATCATAGGAACAATATTTTACCTTTTACAGAGCTAGTTTCCCACAGCACTGGATTTAGCATGGCGTAGGTGGTTCCCCTGCACAGGGTGCTGAGTTGAGGGGCTGCAAAACACTACTACTACTACTACTACTACTACTACTACCTATCTTTATATGGGTGTCTACTCAAAGTTAGGTAGGAAACATTTAGGGGGCAGACAAATTTTGTCCTCGCTCAGGGCAACATGTTACTGAAGTCGATCCCTGTTCCCAATATTATTTGTGCTATAAATGGATGGTGCGTATACAGCCACAGTTTGGATGACATGCTAAGCCTAGCACATTAAAACTGGTCAGGCAGAAATTCACAGACTGTTTTCTTTTGAAAGAAAACTACATGAAAATGATGTACAGGTGGTATATAACAACAGTACAGATAGCAAGAGTGTATAAAACGGGGTCAAATATATGTTGGAAATGTAAAGAAAAGAGACCTTTTACCATATGTGGTGGGAAATGTAGCGAAATTAAAAAATTCTGGGAAATGATATATAATGAATTGAAGAAAATGTTTAAAATGACATTTGAAAAAAAAACAACCAGAAGCATTTTTGTTAGGGATTGTAGGACAAGACCTGCCAAAGAAATTAAAGAACTTATTTATGTATGCTACAACTGCGGCAAGAGTCTTGATAGCACAAGAATGGAAGAATGAGGAAACCCCAACAAAAGAACAGTGGCAAGAGAAATTGATGAACTATGCGGAACTGGCAAAACTGACATAAAAATTGCAAGATAAGGACAACTGCGACTTTAAAGAAGCATGGGAACTTTTTACAAATTATTTAAAAAGACAGCAAATGAATTGGACTCCTTGGCAGGTTTTGAATAAGCATACACAAATTTATTGAGGGTTAATATAGTAGACAGATAATAAAAGGATATATACCATTTTACAGTATGCAGAGAATAACATGAGTTGAGAAATCAGACAGAGGAGCTGAGGGAAGTCTTGGGGGGAGGGAGAGAGGGTTCTTAGGGGAGGGGAGGGAAAAAGGGGGGAAATAATGAAGATGATTTGTTTTGATAATCGTTATGTTGAAAGTTAATAAAAGACTTAAAAAACAACAACTGGTCAGGCAGGAGCAAAGAGGCAGCTCAGGGCCTTTTCAGGAAGGAACATTATGTATGGAGGATCCCTTCATAGGCCTTCTACATCCAATTTGCCTAATGAGCTCAGTACCCTGAAGCAAACGTCTTTCACTGCTTCTTTCAAAACTCTGACTGGCTGAGTAAATGGTGTCTACACATTTGGGTTCTTTAGACGTAAACCATGTTCATTTTTATTTCTCGACAGCAGCAACAGAATATTACTCCCTCAAAGAGCAAAATCGGATGATGAGCGTCAAAAAGAGTGCAGGGAATATGCTGTCACTGAAAAATAAGAGGGAGGTATCAGCATGGGCGGGGGAACCCCCCCAAGATTTGCAGAAATATCCCCCCAACCCCCCACATATTTTAGGGGAAATCTAAGAGGGTAAAAAACAAAAAACGCCCAAAGAGCAGCTTCAGTGACCACATAATACCATTCTGTGCCACCCCATCTCCAAACAGTGTGAGATTCTAGGGATTCCAGAGAATTCCAGGCGCTTACCCAAGGTTCATGTTTATTTCAGAAATATGCATATATGCTTCTATTTACACATATATACAGCCTGAACCTAGATGGACGGGTTGCAGAGCATTCACATCCTATGAAGGTCAAGCTTCCCTGCTTAGGAGACAGCAAAAAGCCATCCTCTGTGTCTCTAATTTTCAGTCTGTCATCCCCAGCTCAAATGGAATTCTGCACCTCCTTCTCCGTCTCGCTGCTGACCAACTCCAAGGACCTCCCGCAGCCTACGTCATTCAAAATTGAAACCCCAAATTTGGCCTGTGCCTCTGCCCACTAGCACCCAGCAAAGAAGGGCCCCCACTCCCCTTTGCCTTTGATGGTTTCCTTCTTGCACCATCACTGGCCTTTGTCCTCTGCTAATGGTCCATCCATTTAATTTTGCGGAGCTGGATTGGCTCATTAGCACAACTGAATCTAGTGGGTTTCTTTGTTTGGCAAAGTTTAATCAAACCTTGATTAAGTCTAGCTTTTACTAAATCCAAGGGAAGGAGTTGGCACCCAGGAATTTAGGGGAATCTGCCCCCCCCAAAAAACCTATAACAATACTCAGCATTAGGTAGCTCAATCCAGTTGCATTGAACCATGCGTGTACAGTGGTGGACCTACATTTTGGGGGCCCTGAAGCTTGAACTGTTATAGGGGCCCCTTCACAACCAGCAACAAGGTTTGGGTAACCACTTATCTTCTTCAATGGGGTTGTTTACAACAACATCTGAGCCACTGACTCTCAGACTTTGGGATTGTTGAAATATATACAACAATGTGAATCCTGCAACTGAAATTTACATGAGGCTAAGTGGTATTTTGAACAAGTACTCGTGAACACTGTGGATATTCTGATCAGTGTCTTAAGGAATGGATATTCTGATCTGCCTCCTATTGGCCCCCTTCTCTGCTTGTGGTACCCAGACATCAAGATAAATTTGAGATCCAATATTGGAAGATCCAAATTATTCACTGGAATAATATGTCTTTCTATGGATAACTTGAAGCTGTATTGTTTTTAACACTTGATTGAGAGCCGCCCAGAGTGGCTGGGGAACTCAGCCAGATGGGCGGGGTATAAATAATAAATTATAATTATTATTATTATTATTATTATTATTATTATTGAATTAGGTTCTCTTCCTACCCCTTCAAGGAGCTCCATGTATTTGCTTTGTTACTAGCCTCACACTTGTCACTGGTGAGGAAGAGGAGGAAGATGATTGTGAAGGATTTCAAAACTGGGGCAAAGGCCAGAGTGGCTTGGGAGGTTCTTTTGGCTCAATTCCTGGAGCCTCTTTTTCAATAATATGAAAAAAGAGGTCAGTGAAAAAAGAAAATCATTGTTCACTCTGAGGAATAAAAATAGACAGTGCTAAGGCAGGACAGCTAGCGATCCAAACAATGTCTTTAACACCTACACTGTAATTATTATCAAACTGTTTGAGAAGATAATCAGGAGAAATCATTAAACAAAAACTTTGGACAACGATGTTCTCTCTCTCTCTCTATATATATATACGAATGTGTGCCTGCTGCTGCTGCTTTATTTTATTTTATTTTTTAATACCAAGTGATATTCATGAGGGTAAAGTGAAATCTTCTGCAAAAAAAAAAAAAAGAACTTTCTTCAGGTTTCTCATTTTAAATTGATTCAGGGCACTCTACTTATGATTTCCCTTTGGATGCATAGAATTTCCTTAGCCGTCAATGCCTATGTTTACCCTCTCACTGAAATTCAATTCAGAATCTCCTGCAAAAATCTGTTCAATCAAAATGTATTAGCATTCCTCAGGTTAAGTCAGGATATACCTGTACACTGACCTCTATTTTGAATCAATTTTGCAGCCTTAAATGATTAAGGCCTGAAATAAATGATTGAGTATGCCTTGAGAGAAAATGTATCATGAATAAAAAGTTGACAGATATTTCATTTCTGGGCAAGATCTGAGCCAGATTTATCCTGCTCCGAAATATTATGAGAGTGATCGTGAGGTAATAATCTGTGTTTTCATTTTCAATTAGCATAACTCTTCATTTATAACCATGGGGGAATCATGGGTCTGTCACCTTCATATCTCTGTGGTGCTTCTTACACTCCCTCCTCTCGATCTTTCATTTCCCAGAAGCAATCACCCCCTCTCCACATGACTTCACGGGAACTAGAGGGCTATCCCGGCAACTGTGGTCCCAGTACATAGCTGTCAACTTTTCCCTTTTCTTGCGAGGAATCCTATTCTGAATAAGGGATTTCCCTTAAAAAAGGGGAAACATTGACAGCTATGTCCCAGTAACAACTGGGCTCTTCATGTCTGTGATTAACTGAAGAGAAAGGGGGAACCAGAGACATACCTTACTGCTTGAGTGTGTGTGCTATGGAGTTTAACCCATAGTTTAACCCTACGGACCAAGAAACAGGGGAAGCATGAAGCTGTACCACAGGCTATGGAGCAGAGTCCTGTACAAGTGATGTCACATGTGGTAATGGAATTGCAACATTCTTAGAGTTTGTCTACACATACATGTCAGACTTTCTACGTATCCCTATTTTCCAGGGAAAGTCCCTGATTTACAGAAGCCATCCCTGTTTCTGATTTGATCCCAGAATGTCCTGCTTTTCCTTAGGACAACCCGATTTTCACTGGATAAATGTTGGAGGGTATGGAGTTATATGACTCCCGAGCCAAGGAGATAACCTTTAGAAGACATCTGAAGGCAGCCTTGTATAGGGAAGTTGAATGTTTATTTATTTATTTATTTATAAATTTATTAAAGTTTCAATCAAAAATTAAACACCAAACAAAAACAAAAACAAAACATAAAAAAGATGCACAAATACACAATACAAATCCCAGAAAGAAAATAAAAAAACAACAACACAAAGAGCAAGAATCAACAATAAAAAAGAACATAACAATTAAAAACAATATCTCTTTTCCATTTCCGTTTTTGAATTTACTTATTTTCTGGACTTCCTCATACCTCCCTCTTTTGTATTCCAATCCAAATTGTTTGTCCAGCAATTTCTTTAATCCCAATCTTTAATTTTAAATATAATATATAACTTCAACTTCTTTAACCCTAATCTTTGATCTTAATGTGGTATAACATTGAAATTTTACCTCTTAATTGTCAAATTTCCATTTCCTTAAACATCTTTAAACCTAATCTTTAATCTTAATCTATCATTAACTTTAACCTGTGCAGCTGGAAACCGCTTATATTCAGTCCAACATCACTCTAACATTCTTTAATTTTGCAGTGTTTCTGAAGATAGTCTTTGAATTTCTTCCAATCTTCCTCCACCGACTCTTCTCCCTGGTCACGGATTCTACCAGTCATTTCCGCCAGTTCCATATAGTCCATTAATTTCATCTGCCATTCCTCCAGCGTGGGAAGTTCTTGTGTCTTCCAATACTTTGCGATGAGTATTCTTGCTGCTGTTGTTGCATACATAAAGAAAGTTCTATCCTTTTTTAACACCGATTGGCCGACTATGCCCAAGAGAAAGGCCTCTGGTTTCTTAGGGAAGGTATATTTAAATACCTTTTTTAATTCATTATATATCATTTCCCAGAAAGCCTTGATCTTTGGGCACGTCCACCAAAAGTGAAAAAATGTACCTTCAGTTTCCTTACATTTCCAACATTTGTTATCGGGCAAATGATAAATTTTTGCAAGCTTGACTGGGGTTATGTACCACCTGTATATCATTTTCATAATATTCTCTCTTAAGGCATTACATGCCGTAAATTTCATACCTGTGGTCCACAACTGTTCCCAGTCAGCAAACATAATGTTATGTCCAACATCTTGTGCCCATTTAATCATAGCCGATTTTACCGTTTCATCCTGAGTATTCCATTTCAGCAGCAAGTTATACATTCTTGACAAATTCTTAGTTTTGGGTTCTAACAGTTCTGTTTCTAATTTGGATCTTTCCACCTGGAAGCCAATTTTCTTGTCCAATTTAAATGCCTCCATTATCTGAAAATAATGAAGCCAGTCTCGCACTTTGTTTTTAATTTTTCAAAACTCTGCAATTTCAGTCTATCTCCGTCTTGTTCCAAAATTTCCCAATATTTCGGCCATTTGACCTCCATATTGACCTTTCTCAAGGCTTTCGCTTCCATTGGTGACAGCCACCTTGGGGTTTTGTTTTCTAACAAGTCCTTATATCTTATCCATACATTGAATAGCGCTTTCCTGACAATGTGGTTTCTAAATGCTTTATGTGCTTTGACCTTATCATACCATAAATATGCATGCCATCCAAATACATTATTAAAACCTTCCAAGTCCAAAATGTCAGTGTTTTCAAGAAGTAGCCATTCTTTCAACCAGCAGAAGGCTGCTGATTCATAGTAAAGTTTGAGGTCTGGCAGGGCAAATCCACCTCTTTCCTTTGCATCAGTTAGAATTTTAAATTTTATTCTGGGCTTCTTGCCCTGCCAGACAAATTTAGAAATATCTTTCTGCCACCTCTTGAAACAATCCATTTTGTCAACAATCTGCAAAGTTTGAAACAGAAACAACATTCTAGGCAATACATTCATTTTTATCGCAGCAATACGGCCTAGCAGTGAAAGCTTCAAATTTGACCAAATTTCTAAGTCTTTTTTCACTTCAGACCAACATTTTTCATAATTATCTTTAAATAAATTCCCATTTTTTGCTGTCATGTTAATCCCCACGTATTTTACTTTCTTAACCACTGTTAAACCTGTCTCATTCTGAAACCTCTCTCTTTCAAACGGCGTTAAATTTTTCTCTAAAACCTTGGTTTTTAACTTGTTCAATTTAAATCCTGCCACTTGACCAAATTCTTGAATCAGTTCTAAAACCCTTTTAGTACTAGATTCTGGCTCCTGTAACATCAATACTAAGTCATCTGCAAATGCTCTCAGTTTGTACTGTTTAGTTCCGACCTGTATACCTTTAACCGACTGGTCCCTTCTAATCATATTCAGCAGAACCTCCAGGACCGAGATAAAAAGAAGTGGGGAAATTGGGCAACCTTGTCGTGTCCCTTTTTCAATTTTAAGTTCTTCCGTCACAACATTATTTACAATTAGTTTAGCCTTTTGTTCTGAATAAATTGCACTTATACCATTCTCAAAACCTTGGCCTACCCCCATACCCTGTAGATTCTTCTTCATAAAATTCCAAGAAATGTTGTCAAAGGCTTTCTCCGCATCTACAAATATCAACACTGCTTTAGTGTTTATGTTCACTTCTAGTTTTTCCAAAATATCAATTATATTCCTCAAATTGTCAGACATATGTCTTCCTGGAAGAAAGCCCGCTAGGTCTTTATGAATCTCTTCCATCAACACTTTTTTCAATCTCTTAGCCAAAATATCTGCAAAAATTTTGTAATCCACATTCAGTAACGATATAGGGCGGTAGTTCTTAAGCTGTGTCTTTTCAGTCTCTGTTTTTGGTACAAGTGTAATATATGCTTCTTTCCACGACTCTGGTGCTCTTTTCCCCTCCATTATTTCATTACAGACCTCTTTCAAAGGTTGAATTAACCATTCTTTTAAAGATCTGTAGTATCTAGAGGTCAAGCCATCTGGTCCTGGAGATTTACCAAGTTGCATGTTTTGAATGGCACCTTCTATTTCCTGTTCAGTTATTCTATAATTCAAAATTAATTTATTTTCTTGAGATATTTTTTGTAATCCATTTGTTTTCAAAAATTGGTCTGTTTCTTTTAATGGCCCTTGAGTATATAATCGTTTAAAGTACCTCTGGAAACAACTTCTGATCTCTGCAGGATTCTGTATGTTTCTTCCTTCCACTTCTAAGTTCGTAATTGTATTTAATTTTTGTCTCTTTTTCATTTGCCATGCCAACAATTTACCACATTTGGAAAGACTTGGGAAGTTGAATGTTTAGTGTTTTATTATATGCTGGAAGCCACTCAGTGTGTCTGGGGCAACCCAGTCAGATGGGTGGGGTATGAATAATAAAATTACTACTACCACTACTACTACTACTATGGAATAGAACACCCCTATTTTCATGGGAGAAATGTTGGAGGGTATGGCACGCTCATCACTTGTTAACTGCAGCTCAAAGAAATGGCTTGCATGTATTTTGTTTTGTGCAGGTTCTGCACGCACAGGTTCAGATACCCTAAGCGTTTCCTCACAGCCTTTCTACACACACCCTTTATTTGCTTTGTTTGGACAAGAAAGGAGGAAGATTATAATTGCGGCTATACAGTGGTACCTCGGTTTAAGAACAGTTTTGTTAACAAACTATTCGGTATACGAACTATGCAAAACTAGAAGTAGGTGTTCCGGTTAGCGAACTTTACCTCGGTCTACGAACGGAAGCCGAATGGTCAAAGGGCACCGGCGGCAGGAGGCCTCATTAGGGAAAGCACGCCTTGGTTTAAAAACGGCTTTGGTTTAAGAACGAACTTCCGGAATGGATTAAGTTTGTAAACCGAGGTACCACTGTATCTAAGGAAAAGAGAACACAAAATAATATGGGTGGGAAAGCATTATACAGAACTATATTATCATTGATTTTGTCATTCCAAAAGTTAATCTTTATATGCCTCTCTCTTGTCGATTATTTAATATTCTTCTCTGAGGAAGAAATGACTTGCATGTTTGAACGGGCCATAATACCATAGGCTGCCTTTTCACTTCCCCTCCATCTCCATCGCTTTTCATTGGAGCCATCCTACACCTTTGACTCCCAGTCCTCAAGTACTGAGGAATGACGGGACTTGCATGCCTGCACAATTACCCTCGTCTTGAGAAAATCCACCTCTGATTGATCAGCGATCACTCAAAACACTGGAAGACAGTAGGAATTATATGTGTACGTTTCAGATCACTTCTGCCAAAAGAATACCCAAGGGCCAAATGCCCCCCCCTATTTTTTTGTTCAAGTAAAAAAGAGGGATCATCTCATAATTAAGCGAATTCAAGCTTCTAGCGAAAACTTGAGCGCAGCACTGCCAGGCTAATCTCAGAAGCTGGCAACAAAGGCATGATGTCCTAGCCCTGCCCAAAGCTGTCCTTTTTGAATGTCTTTCACCTCAGACTTCCCAGCACACAGTGTAATTAATGCACACAGCAATTTATCTTCTATCTCTGTGGGAGTTGCTACCCTCTTGCCGAAAATGGAAAGATCACCTTCTTAATAGACCTGCTGAGCACAACCCGAGGAAACCAAAGTCCCTGTGCTCTCTTGAACATATAGATCCACATATGGTGGTGCTGAGGAGCAGCAGCTGTTCCCTTCCAGTCTGCCTTGCTAGTCTCCTTAATTCAATGCAAGCTGCCCCCCACCATTTTGAGACAGGGCCTCTGCACTCTCCATTGCTTTCTTGACAACACAACCGATTTACAATTATCTTAAATTTTTTATTGGTGGGTCTAACGAGGATGTTTTCACAGCTTGGGCTTCTATCACTTTTTTCCTCAGCGCTGCCCTGAATTTCTCTCTCTCAGTATGCGAGATACACACACACGCACAAATCTCTCTGTCTCTGTTTTTCTCTCTCTTTATCTATTTATCTATCATAGCTGGTAAATGAAAGGGAGCCTCATGGAAAGCCAGAATGATCTTTCATAGGATGTTCCCAAGGTGAAAGCAATGCACCGGCTGATCTCACGGTTTGCAAAAACACAGGAGAAGCATCTCTCCCAGGCAAATTTCTTTTATCTGGATACTCCGTTCCTAATTAAAGCATTTTCCGTACCTGTGTTCAGGGCAAGATCGACTCTTATGCTGACTGAGCCTGGGAAGAGTCATTACAAGATCCCTCCTCGTTCTCAATTGGCACCTGGTTGCATGCACAGTGTCACATGCTAGCTATTAGGAACAGTGTTTAATAAACCTGACACTAATTTTGCTGCTCTCAGGTCTGAATGTGTAGATCTTTTTGAATCCTAGCCTCCCCCTAGTTTTAGGTATTTCTTGTGGCTTGCCTCACTTTCCCTTCAATCTTCCTGATCTCATTCTTCTTTTCCTCAGCATCATTTTATTTATATGCCACCTTTCCATAGTTAAAACAATGCTCAAGGCGGCTTACAACACGACCAGATTTACATAATTACCAACGTAACAAAAGTCATAAGCAATAAATAAAACACATCAAAAAGTACACAACCAAATGGAAAACAATTTCCACATAAATCATAAAATCTAAAACTAAGAATACAGCATTAATATCAATTACAATTTAAAATGACATAGATAAAAAAATAAAAGCAATTTTTTTAAAAAAAACAAATGGAGCCCTCTCTGCCCAGATGGAAGGAGGCAGGCAAGGCCCTTCCGGTCCTCAGCAGCAGGTGAGCCCATCTTTTGCTCCCCCCACTTTCTTTTTTACTTAATAAGGGGATGGGATACATAGTGTGGGTCCTGCTGCAGGCTTGTTTGATTTGCATTCTAATTTTCTTTTAAAGTGTTTCGTACACTTAAAAAACAAACCATGAGGCCCATGTGGAGATGCCTTGCTTTCATCTAGCTGTCACTCTCCTCCTTGTGACTCAAGTCCACAAGATATTCCTACCTGATGCATGTCTGACCTGAGGAAAGGGATGACAGGATGAACACTTGGGACTTTTGTAAGAAGCAAACATTAGGTGCTCTATATGGTATGATCTTGCTCCTGCGCCAGCCCAGGCAAGGAAGATGGCTCTGTGGGGCTCTCTGCTGATCCCTTTGTGCAAGGCAGTTGCATCCACATGGATATAATTTCTTTCTGCCCTTTAAAGCCAAACACACACTCTCACCCCACCCCCAAAAGGTAGCTCCGATAAACGAATAAAATACAATTAAGCTGCTCAAAACATTATCACCATCCAATTACACCATGCAACAAGAACAATAAATCATTGAGAAGAAAGCACATAGAAATCCAGTGACAGTGTTGGCAACAGGCCAACCTAATCCCAGCCTCCTAAAATCTGGGTGGTGAGGGGGGCGTCAAATTTTGGCCTCTCCCCCACACAAGACAGTGATAGCCTGCGGGTTCCATGTCAAAGTACTCTTGCAGCTCACTTGGTATGAAAAGTTGGACCATCCTGGTCTAAACAGAGTATTTGAGGTGAGGAAGACTTATAGAAATGGCCAACCACTCTTATTAAAAGCACTGCAAAGCCAGCAGTTAAAGAACAACACAGCCCTCAAACTCCACAGCTGAAGAATGAGGGCAGTCATTTAAATAAACCAATGTGAGAAATTTACCTATTCTCTCTCCTGTTCCATCAGTCTTTCCAAGTTCCATCTCCCAACCAAGAGAACACAAACCTTTATTCTCTTAAATCCTGCATGGAAATTTGCCCTGGCCTCCATTAAAAAATAAAATAAAAATCAGTCCATCTACTTTCGTTACTTCAGTATGACGCACCTCTCATCAGCATGAGGTATTCCCCTTAGCCATTTTTCATAAGCGCACACCTAAAATTGAATTGTGCAAAGGAGACCTACAGAGAGTCAGGAGCCGCTCATTAACAAACCCAGGTTAGTTACTTTGCAATGAGTGAAACGCCTGTGCCAATCTTGCTGCGAAGGTAATACATCCATATGAACAATGGCTGTTGAGTCTACCTTGTTACAACGGACTGCTGTTAGCAGGTCATGTGAGAGGATTTGGCCTTAGGTTTGGTTGGCATGGCTTGGGCAGCCAGAGAGATAATGAGCTAGCACACTTATCCAATTCCAAAAAGCCTCCGAACGCGATGGAAGACAGGAAGGTTTAGAGTAATATGCCTGGAGGAGCTTCCTTTTATGTGAAACCAAGTGGTTTGCTCTCCAGATTTAGGCAGAACCGAATGCACTTCCTTTTGCCTTTCAGGGCTTTTTGATCTTATTGGCCGGATCCAGTAGCAGACCCACTCTATTACAGGAAATTGGCATCATCTGGTACGTGTATGCAGAGTACACTTGTCTGCGTTTATGATTACAGGAGTCAAGCTGCTTGCGCGCATATATATATATATATATATATATATCACATGGAAAATGTGTATCTTTTGATGGGCTGCCAGCAGCGTATAGATATATAACCACTACGGCTACGGTGCATCATAAAATTTTATTTCCTGTAGATTTGCCCTGCCACAGAACATTTACTCGCTGTCAAAGAAAGTAAAAAACATGCTAACAGCCTGAGGTTCCCTTTACAAGCATTGAAATTTCTGAAACCACCCCACAGCTAGTACTTTTTCATAATCCTCCTTGCAACACTTGATGTGTGCGATTTGCGACGTGGGGAAAAGAGAAAGAGGGAGCGGAGCTTATCTTTAAAATACAATATTTTGGAATGGATCTCTGGGGTTTGCAGACTATGGGAGGCATGATTTAATTTGGGCCGTCTTTGTGACATTTAAGCAAGAAGCTGTCAGATGGAATTGTATGCCTCACTTTAAAAAATAATAATAAATGGGAATGAATCTTCCCGGAAAAGGACACTTATGTGGTTTATTAGATCTAGGCATTGTTAAATTCCAGGATCTCTCTTCAGCTGGCATGAATGTGTAGCAACTTTACTGTCAATGTTAAATTTCATTTCATGTCTCCTTTTTTATTCTTTAGTTATGCATTAAAATAAAATAAACTGCCCCATCTAAGAGAGGAAATACAGAGCAAACACTGACACCTAAAATTTGACATCCCCACCAAGTACTATCAAGCAAATCAGTATGTAGTAGAGGAGGGAAATCGGATACATCTACCAGTGCTATTTCTCTAGAAAAAAAGGTGCTGGAACTCACCACAAACACCTCCCTTGTTCTCTTATAATGGCAAAGGCACCCACCTGAGAGGTGCCAGAACTGACTTCTGGCAAGTTCCAGCTGAAAAAATGCCCCACATTTACCTGCATACGGACCTATTAATACTGTGCCAAATTAGATATCTTCAGCAGACTACAACATTATGAGATATACAAAAGAGCTCTAGAACCACAACTCCATCTCCCCATCAAATCAGGCAGATCTCTGGTTTCAAGGGATTTCATTGTCACAGCTCTGGGCTGCTTCTAAAAGGTAAAGGTAAAGGGACCCCTGAGCATTAGGTCCAGTCGTGACCAACTCTGGGGTTGCAGCGCTCATCTCGCTTTATTGGCCGAGGGAGCCGGCATTTGTCCACAGACAGCTTCCGGGTCATGTGGCCAGCATGACTAAGCCGCTCCTGGCGAACCAGAGCAGCACACGGAAACGCCGTTTACCTTCCCGCTGGAGCGGTACCTATTTATCTACTTGCACTTTGATGTGCTTTCGAACTGCTAGGTTGGCAGGAGCTGGGACCGAGCTACGGAAGCTCACCCCATCACAGGGATTCGAACCGCCATCCTTCTGATCGGCAAGTCCTAGGCTCTGTGGTTTAACCCACAGCGCCACCCGCGTCCCCTCTGGGCTGCTTCTAGGCTGTCACAATTTTGGGATGGAACTTCATCACATACAGGCAAATGTAGGTTGAGCAATTAAGATTGACTGGGAGGTCTTGCTTCACCAAAACAGTGGTCTTTTTGCTACAAGGAAAATGACAGGAAAAAAGACCGGTAGGTGTGGTGGTAACACTTGCTTTGACACAACATCATCTAACTTCATGAACCAGTCCATGCTTTCTAATTTCCTTACAAACAAATCAGGATGAATGCTTGTCACTAGTTTTGCACATCCAGTTTCCACAGAATGAGAGGACAGCTACTACCTACTTCCTAAGGGTGTGCAGCACAATAATAGACACAAGGGAGGGTCATTCTATATCAAATCAATGCAAAAAACAATGGTTTTGCCACCCACCATCTTGGATTTTGATGAAACTTCGTGTACACCCTGCTCTTATGGTTGAAAGAAACCCCCTTATTCCCCCCCCATCACAAACAGTTTCGATTTTATAGCACTTCAAAGTTTCGTGAAATCTGCGTTTCTGTCCCTCTTGAAATCCTTGGCCTTCAGTACATTTTATTTTTTTTCTCCATAACCAATGATCAGATCTCTTTGAAATTTTACACAGAGCTCAATAACATGATGAGGATTTAAGGAAAAAATATACCAGCACTCAAATGATTTTATAGATGCCTTAAAAATGTATAAATGTAGGGGTTTTTTGGTGGAAAAACTAGGCTTAGAAAACCTAAATTTTCAGCGTGTAATCGAAAAAAATAATGAAACAAAGTTGTTCATCTTAAAAGCTAAAATAATATTGGTTATTACAGGGGTTTGTTTTTTTCAAAAGTGCAGACTTCTTTTTCAGTTTTAGGGTATTTAAAACTATGAAAATTGGCTATATCGTGAAATCAATCTTTTTAAAAAAATCGGTCAGAAACTTTAAATGCTGACATGTAAGGAAATAAGACCTAGCAAGAAAAAGATTAAAAGAATTTAAAATGATGGATTATTTTCAATTTTGCAACATTACATTATCCCCAATTCGTTTTTCAGAACATTATTGCATACAAAGACATGCCTATCTTAATTGGGGGGGGGGGGAGAGAATGATATTTGTGTGCCATCTTGAAAGAATGGATGCATGGAGCCTTTTAAACATTTATGTTAAATATATTGAGGTGTAATTCACAATAAGGCAGTTTTATGACAGCATATACTGTACATTAATAACAACACGGACAAAAATTAAACTAAAGTAAAAAATTACCATAACAGAATATGCTATTACCCCAGTTGATTACCTTACAAGTTCAATGTTCCTCAGTTTCTTTCTGTAGCCTCAGTATCACCTGTAAGTTTTTCATTTTTTCTTCCCTCAATGCCACACACTCATTGGGAAAGAAGTATCTTCTTGCAGTTATTGTCTGTGGGGGTTGTACAATACCAAGCATATGAGGAAACGGAATTACACAAGAATCGTCATGGCATGGCCAGCAGAATGAAGGTGAAGGTCCATTAGGGTGAAGAAATTTTACAAAAGCATCTTCCTCGTCTTGATTAATCTCTGATATCATTCCAAAGTACCACAAATGATCATGCTTGCAAGCGACAAAACATTCAGGATACAGATCATCCACATTCATAGGAAGTTTGGGGAGGCTCCTGAGGTTGAAAGTGAGGGAGGGTTCTGTATTAATGCTCATTCTTTTTGCTTCAGTTGTGCCTGTAGAATTGAGTGGTTTAAAGTTGTGGAATTTGCGAGTTCCAGGGAGTGTGTGCATGTCTCTGAAACGGGTTTCGAAGGAAGAGTGGATTATGTCTATGTCTTCCCTTGCAATATAATGGAATTTGACCTTGTGATAGAGGGGAAAAAATTAAGGGGTTTTCTTTCAACCATAAGGGAAAGGTCTACACCAAGTTTCATCAAAATCCAAGACAGTGGGTGGCATGACTGTGTTGAACTAACGTGGAATGACCCGGGAAACAACAAAGCAAGATGAGAGAAGTGGAGGAAGGGGCAAGCCGGAAGGAATATGTGATTATTTTAGTTAAGCTTCATATCAAAAGATATACCTGCTGGCAGCTGGAAAAAGTCAGGAGTTTCTGGAAGAAGTCACTTAAAATTACATCACCTGAAAATATCTTGTGTGAAAGGGGACTGAAATCACTGAAAGGAGGCCTGAAAACCGCACAGAGTGGCTGGGGAAATTCTTGCAGACCAAGAATATCAGGTGACAGCAAACACGGTACATTTTTTAGCTGGGGCAATTAGAATTAGCTCTACGACATGCTATTTTATTTGTTCATATCTTATGCTAATGTGCTCTGCAATCGCTATAGGAGAAGTAACACATTTCTAAAAGTTGCGGCGTGGGAATGATGTTTGAGTTAACTCTGATTTCAGTCTTCCAGAGAATTTAAAAATCATAATATTTGTACTTCTATTGTCATTGTATCTTCTTTTTTCTTTTTTCAAACAAATCATCGCTACGTACGGAATAAACACATCCAGTTCCCCACCGAGATTTTTCACTGCAATTGACATTTATGACAAGCAAATTGCCAGGAAAACATTTACAATGAATATAATTTTCATGTTAAATCAGCATGTGCATATATATATATATATATATATATATATATATGGATTTTACAGTTTTATAGCAAGAGACTTGGGGAGCGTGCTTTCCTTCTGAGAAATAAAGGAATGGGATAATTGCTGAGCTGCCGTGAACCATTTGGCAGAAAGCTACTCTCAGTCTCTGAAATCCTCCCTGTGGTGAGTTTTACTTTTTATCCTAAACCCTGAAGCAACTATTAGTTGGTAATAAAGTATTAGTCTGGAAGAAAAGAGGCCCTTATCTTGTCACCGGGCCAGTTGGAAACAGAGATCTGATTGTTCCATGCTGAAGGAGTTGTTGGAGATGTGGGAATGGAAGGCTAATTTCAAAACAACACAGTTGTGCTTAGGAGAATGAGAAAGAGGACGTACCTGGAAGCTAGGTTAGAGAGGATTTTCTGAATGGAAAGAGAGACAGCAAATTGAAACCTTCAGACTGAGCTGCTGACTTGGGGAAATGAAGATGGTGACTGCCACTCTCAACCACTAACCACTTTATCTAGCACTTCTCTTTACAGTGCTGGTTTTCTGCCACCGGGCAGGGGTTGAAAAAAGCCCCCGCCCCCAAAAAAGCTCAACAATATAGGGTTGTCCTTAAAAAAAAGGGGGGGGGAGTTCCTGCGCCTATTTTTCTAGAAAAAAAAGCACTGCTTCAGGGTATGAGGAATATACAGAATGTGAGATCAGAAGGCAGCATGGAGATATATGAAAAGATGGATTTACATGGTCCTGGTTATTTATCTCTGCTTGCAAAAAGAAAAGGCAAAAAACCCAGCACAGCCAATTGCAAACTATATTTATGATTTGGACAGCTCACTAAAGTTTTGTCAGTAGGTAAATGCCTTGCAGTTACTATGCTGAAATATAGGCACAACAATCTAATGGGAAGGAATCGGAAGAGATGCTCTTATTTATAGCTAGGGGGAAAAAATGTCAATATGACTGGGTAGGCATGTGTGCAAGGAAAGCTTGAATATATTGTGAGGATTTTGGTAGTCATGTGTTGATGTATCCTTTATGCCCAGAGGTGCATTGCAGTACTCTTCACCATACCTATTAGTAAGGGCTGAACCATTCATTGTCATGGCGGGAGGCAAATTTCCCCCTCTCTGCAACAGTGGCTCCAATTAGTATTTTCCTCAATGGTCAATGTTATCTATTAACTGATACTGCTGCAAGCCTTTTTCTTCACCTGCGTAGTCCTGAACTGTGGCCCAGCATCAAAGTCGTACACCTGAACTCACTTTCTAGCTTTTTCTCAACACATACTTGGAACCACGTGATAACTAATGGTACAGATCCCAGGGCCCCTTCGGACTGGTGTTTTATGTGGGTGTATTCTGAAACATGTTTTTGACACAATAATGGTGTATTAGGCTTTTCCCGCCTTGTTTTGTTCTGTGCTGCTTCGCCAATACTACTGCTTTCCAGAGAGGACATGGCACAACAGAAGTGGGACAAAAGTAAACTAGAACATGTGTAATATTAAAGCGGGGGGGGGGGGGGCATTTCAGCAGGAAGTTACTGCAACTGGCACAAAATGCTACAGAATGATTGCCGACAGGAGTGAGACCTTGTCAGCATATACACCTCTGCTCAAAAATCTGTATGGGCTGCTCATTTGTTACTGGGCCAAATTCAAATTCAAGATGCTACTATTGAAGCAGTTTCTTTGCAATATCTCCCCCCCCCCAGTGCTTTTTTCTGTTACGCATACCCCTAAACATTTTGTGAATCTAAGTTTGGCTTTATTGAGGGGCAGTTTTTCAATATGAGTAGGAAAATGAGAGTACCCCTAAACATTTTTTTTTTAGAAAAAAGCACTGTACACACACACACACACACAACCATTTCAATCTGTGGGATTGGCACTTTTACAAGTGTCACATAGTGTTTGTTCCACACTTTCAAAGAATCAATATTTCAGTGTGGCAACAGCCACACTTTGGAACTCCCTGACATCATCATCATCATCATCATCATATACCACCCTTCATCAAAAGATCTCATGGTGGTTCACAAGATAAAATCTGGGACAAAGTCCCTCCTGCACGAAGAAGCTATCTTAGATGGGCTTTGCATTTTATAACATTGAGGGTCATAGTGTGAGAATTCCTCAGAGAATTCCACCACACCATTCACCAGCCTTTCCAGAAAGCAGGAAATATCAGAAGGTGTCATTGATAAGAAGCAAGCCTACCAAGACATGAACATACAGTATGTATTTTAATATTTGTTAGTTAATATCCCACAATTTTGGGGGCTGAGGGGCAGAAATAGGCTAATTTGAATGCATGCTGAAGTATGCGTGAGTTTCTACGAGGTGAGACATAGTGATTACAGCAAGAGACTTTATTGAGCAAACAGAACAGAGCAACAGGGGCAAAGCAACTAATAATGTACATCTTTCTGAAGTCCTGGGCCACTCACACTCTCAATGTGATTGGCTGTCTAAAACCCCAAGCTGCGAATCGTAACTCAGAGCTTAAGAGCCAATGCCAGCAACCCAAATCCTGACAATGCTACATGATTGGATATCATGTATCAAATCAAAACAGAGGGGCACAGAATCCTGGTCCAGACCACTGAGTACATAACACATACTTTCTGTAAACTGCTTGGTTTTTTATGATTAAGCAGTATATAAAGCCTGTTTAATACATAAAATCAGAGAAAACAACTCAGTACTTGTTGAAAAGGAGAACTTCTAGCAGCTCTACAGGGGTCCAACACACTTTGTAAATTGTATACAAATTTGAGCATGCCCCACTGGACAGTTTGTTCCAAGCGAGTTAGATAAATTGCTCTGAATGTTGAGAATGCTTATTTTAAACGGCGCCAGAGTCTGCTCCGAACAAATTGTGTAATAAATATGTCAGCACTGATAAATTACAGTGTTTGTGTGTATTTTGCTTAACATGTAGCGCTTGCCTCCCATCCCCTTGGATCATCCTCAACATGGGATGCTGCTGTTCTTAAGGATGGGGGCAAAGAATATTTGAAAATCATTCACATGCTACAGTAAGTAACCACCAGCTTAATCCCAAATTAATGAGCCGTATCTGTGCCTGATGTTTGAAAGAGCAGAAACAAAATTGCATTTTGATGTTGGGAAAACCATATCATTGTGACTAGATAATCCTTAGCAAGTCTCAAGATTTTTTGTTATTTTTAATTCACTGTTATCAGTAATTGTTATTGGCTTTTATCCGAATGTATTACACATGCCTGAAATGTTATTACAATTAAACAGTGTTTAAAACAGTGGCTGCTTTTTGTGATCTGTTCTTGCTTGGCCAGATTAGCACTCTAAAGGTAGTTACAGGTGTGGCAAGTTACAAGACTCATTGTGAATCACTGAAGCCAAAAGCTAACCATCTTTATTTTAATAAGGGGGAAATGAACCAGGATGGGGAACCAAAACTTCAAAGTAAATCATTAAACTGTTTCGGCACACAGAACTAAATTTATCTGGTTTTTGCATTCAAGCACCCAGTACAGCATCCCAACCAATGTGATATTGTCAAGGACATAGGGGACTGCTGAGGAAGAAACTAGGAAAAGCTAAAGGCACCCTAACAGTGCTTCAGTGCACAAGATTTACTGAGAAAAAGCTCTCTATAATTAACCGACATAAAACTGGTATGAATTTGTACAGCTGTTTTGTTAGTTTTGTTAATGGCTGGTTTTGTGGTTTAATTTTTTTTTATTCTAATGATAGCATTAATCGTGATTCATCCTGAGAGCATCAAATGACAGCTAGAAGCAACAACAACAACAACAATTATAATACAGGCAGGGACCATTTTAGACGTGTCCAATATGTGCATAACCACGCTCAACCCAGAAGTGACACAAACGCACCACAAAAAGGGGCAGAGTGGGTGGAATGGGGTGTTTGCAGACTGTTTCAATGGTGTTTTAAATATACGCAATTTCACTTAAACACATGGTGCCTTGGAACTTAACCCCTGCGTAAATTGGGAGTTGCCTGTGCCTTGTCATTCCTTTGTCATTGTTGCATAGTCAGAGGTACTCAGGAGAAAAGTGCTGAGATCTTAAGAGTGGTTACCCTGAGTTAATAATAACCTCTTGAGGGCAGAATTACACAGTAACCAGGCAAAGGTGCCCCCAGACCAACATTTCCTTTACTAATACAAATGTGGTGCTCTCCAGATGTTGTTGTTGTACAGTTGCCATCACCCCTGAATATTGGCCATGCTGGCTGGGGATGGTGGGAGTTGTGACCCAGAATATCTGGATGGCACCTAGGGGACTGGCTGGACGGGAAAGAGTGGTGGGTGCCACCCACCCAAGAACACCCCAGGGATGACACAGAGGAAGAAGACTTCCTCTGTGGTGGGACACAGAGGACCAGTCTGGGGAAGGGACAAGCTGGGAGGTGATAAAAGCAGGAGGTTTGATTGAACATGGGGGAGGGGGCGTCAGAAGGAGAAAGCCATTCCAGGACAGGGATGAGTGCCAAGGGTCGCAGTGTGAGGGCAGACTCTGACAGAGCGGAGCCAGACACTGCTTCAGCAGCTGGACAGCTCCCCTTCACCTAGCGCTCCTTCTCCACTGACAGACAACCAAATCATGAGGAGCCTTGCACATTGCTGAGACAGAACCAGAGGGAGATCCTTTCCCCTTGTAAGAGTCTACGGCTGCCTGGGAGACGGCTAGAGTGGGAAGGAGGGTCCAAACGTCAGCAATGTCTTCAACTAGGGCAGATTAGCCTAGATAAACTCCACTGTGCTTTTTTTATTTTGTGAATAAAAGCTGATTGCAGCTCGCATCTTGAGTCCTTTTCCTGACCTGTGGATGAATCTGCGTTCCTGACACTACCCCAGTCTAAACTCTCGACATCCAGTAGACACAGAGAGTGTTAGAATTTAGAAGCCAAATGAGAACTTGGCTGTTCCTAACTGTTTATTTGTTTGTTTGTTTTTGATTTGTTTTGTTTTGTGGGTTAAGTGAGCTTATGGAATTTTATTGTTACTTGCTCACTAAATAAACAACCACCTGGAAAGGGCCACTACTTGTTTCCTAGTAACACACATTCCATCATTACACAACTGAATCACAGTTGTATAAGCATACCTTTAAAAAGGAAGCATGAATCATGCATTGCAAGGTGTAGGTTGTTAACGGCAAATAGCCAGGTTGAGGTCAGCAGAAAGCTGTTTGTGATACCTTTAATTCTGACAGAGAGTGGGGGGAAGGACCACACTTTTCTTTTGGATGCTGAGAGTGGGAGAGATGGGTAGCTTAATCACAGCACTTTAAAGAAGGAAGTAGGTTTGTGATCTGTTTTGCTCCTGCTGGCTTTCTTTCTCTGGACCGGTGTTTTCCTCTAGTGTACAGCTTTTTATATTCAACCCAGTGTTCAACCGTGAGATCTGATAATATTTTTAAGACTTTAAAATGAAGGCTTTAAGTTTCTGAAATGATGGGTTTGAATCTGAATAGGATGCGTCCCAAAGGGCTTTTATCATCAACCATAATCTTCTCTTATTTTTTGAAATAATGTTTTCTTCTCTCCCCCCCCCCCCGTATAGGAAGTTACATTTGTTACTCAACAATTATATTCCAGTTCAACAAAACTAGTGATGTCCCGCTCACCCAACATCAAATTACAAACAACAGAGGTTTAAGGTTTCGTCTTATCTAATTTCATCCTCTCTAACATGTTTCTTAATATATTCTGCTGTTTCCTTACACTTGAAACCCTGCTGTGGTCTTCACATATGGGAAATATCAACCATAATCTTCTAACAGCAAAGGGAGGAGGAGGAATGAGAGAGCTAGAAAGTTACAGAACTAGGAAAAATGCATACCTCACTAGCAGCAAAGGCGCAGCCCAGGTCACTTCCCCTAACCATGCCCATTGCACCATGTTAAAATTCTCATTCATTGCTCAGTCCACTCTTTCCTCTACCCCCTACCCACCTCTGCAATGTGTCACCTGGAAGGTTACCTTACCCAGAAAGCAATGCAGTCCTTGGGCTGAAAGACGTTCCCCATCCCTGGTTGAGAATAGCTACACTCCCATGTTGTTGATGCATTGTTTCAACAACCAAAAACTTTGTTGCTGAGGTATACCAGCGTGGAGTTCAGGAGGACTGTTTTGTAGTAAGTGACATGACAGAAAAGGAAGAAAGGAAGGGGGGACAAACAGCGCAGCCTGTTTTCTTTCTGTGTCATGTTTACACGGGTTCTTTCATAAATGTGCTCTGTTCTGTTTCATAAAATTATAGGTGATGTTGGTCTGGCACGCAAAACCCATGTTGCTGTGTTTCTTTCCTAAATGATTACAGACTGACTGCTTAATGATAACGTACAAGGTTTGGGCATCAAGACAACTAGTCGGTAGCTGTCTGTGTGCTCTCTTTTTTCTCTCCTTTTCGTGGGTGAGAATAACAGTTCCCTGCCTCCAGTCTCTCAGAATCCCTTTAGTACCCTGAGATATAATTTGCCTTGCCCCCAAAATTCATTTAGAGTGGTTAGGCACTCTTCTATCACCTTTTTACCTATGTTACCTCACTACCTTTCAACACCAACCTCTGTTTTTCACCCAAAACAAGCCTGCACCAAAATTCCCATTTAAATACTTATTGGTAAATCTACATTTTTTCTCTCAAAATATATCTTTCTAAATATATTTGTCTTCAAAATATGTATTTCCAAACATATATTATCTCAAAACAGTGGATAACTGAATCCCAAACCTTCATTGGTCTTGGAGGTGTGGATCAAGTCAGTTCATACTGGAATTTCTCAATTTAATTCCTCAACTCTAGAACTCTGGAAGCAGCTAGAGTCTTTCTGGCTGTGGTGTCATAATGTGTGTGTCTCATGGACAAATCAGGTTGGCCTGTCTTGCTTTACTGCTTATAAAGATTAAGTGGTTTCGAAATCCTTTTAAATTAATAAAATTAAATGTTCTAAGGTCAACCCCCCCCCATCCTCAATAGAAGTTAGAAATTTTGAAGAGAGCTTACGATCCTTGAATGGTACAAAACAAAGCCTAACCGGTTAAATTTCTGTTATGTCTGTCAGCCAACCAGTCTTTCATTAGATGTATTGGGGGATAATATTCAAGAATGGTTGACTGACGAACTAATCAAGGGGAACTGTGGCGCTGTGGGTAAAACCTCAGTGCCTAGGACTTGCCGATCGTATGGTCGGCGGTTCGAATCCCCGCGGCGGGGTGAGCTCCCGTCTTTCAGTCCCAGCTCCTGCCCACCTAGCAGTTCGAAAGCACCCTTAAGTGCAAGTAGATAAGTAGGTACCGCTTTATAGCGGGAAGGTAAACGGCGTTTCTGTGTGCTGCGCTGGTGCTGGCTCGCCAGAGCAGCTTCGTCACGCTGGCCACGTGACCCAGAAGTGTCTCCGGACAGCGCTGGCCCCTGGCCTCTTAAGTGAGATGGGCACACAACCCTAGAGTCGGACACGACTGGCCCGTATGGGCAGGGGTACCTTTACCTTTACCTAATGCTTGGCAGAAGGTCCACTGACAAGTAGGAACCACTATGCGTTTTTTAAGTGCAATACCAATCAGAGCAAATGACACATGTTCAATAAAGGGAAGGGGTAGAAAGGAACAGTAGAAAAAGCAAATGCCAGACTTTGAGAATGAACACTTCTAGCTGAAATTCTATTGGCGTAGATTCAGGAGAGAGGGGTGCCCAAGTTGTTGGGGCTTTGTCTCCTAGGAGTGTCCGACTGTATCTATTTGTATCCTGGTAAATAAAAGCAAGTGTTATATTTTAAACCTTCAGTGCTTTTTGCCGCAAAGGAAACTAAATACTGAAACCTGTGGACATTCTCTTTGCTCAGGGAAGTGAAGAGCATGTAATGCTTCCATATGGAAAGTGAAGCATTAACAGACCCTTGTTGCTCAGTTTGAATGCTAAGCCAGGGAGAAAAAGGGGGATATTATACCAGGGCATCATTTACGAGATGTTGCATCTTTAAAACCATCTAGGAATAACCACTGTCTCAGCCAACGGCTTTCCCCCCTCATGTCGACAACAGGAGACTCACATTGTGTCAGGTGTCATTGTTTCTGAGCCTCAGCTTGACATGATGGAATTGGGGGGGTAACAACATCTGCATGAGAAACGAATGGCTGAAGGCCTGGCGCCGGCAGAAAATGCTGCTGCGGTAAGATATGCAAAGAGCAACATCCCCACTGAGACAAACCCATTGCAGCCTTTCTGAGCTGGCGAGAGGAAGGCTCGGCAGTGACATCTTGGATAAGGCTGCTTGCTGCTGAGGCTCCGGTTCATACCAAAGCAACAGCACAAAGGTTGAGGGCATCTAACAATAAAGAGTTCCAGACAGTAAAGAGATCACTTTGTGTTCTTTGGAACAAAACATTGCTCTGCATTGGAAAGAGTCCCATTGGATTCCACTGGCTCCTGCTCGATGGAAGCCATGGCAACAAAGGAAGCAGTTTGCCCTTAAGATTTCAAGGGTTTGCACTAACCATAAAAGTTATCCTCATTTGGAAATGAATGCCTACTGGTGGGGGTGGGGGCAAGATAAGAGCGGAAATAAATCTGTGTGCAATGTTTTTAGCCACCGAATACTTGTCTGCATCTAGAAGTATTTCCCAATACAAAGTTGAACCTCAATTTTCAAGCGTCTCAGAAGCCGAAGAATTCGGAACCCAAACGCTGAAAACCCCGAAGCAATTGCTTCCATTTTCAAATGCGCCTTGGAAGTCGAAGGGCTTCTGAGGAGCGTTTCTCCATTTTTTCAATGGATTTTGCAGACCGCCGATTCTCAGTTTTCGAACGTTTTGGAAGTTGAACAGTCTTCTGGAAAGGATTAGGTTCAAGAACCAAGGTTCCACTGTACATAGTATTGTGAGTTGGGGGCAGGCAGGGCTGTATGTCTGAGTTTTCCAAAGCAACTACTCTATTCCCAACTTAAGAATAGAAAGTGAAATACAACAAAAGAGGTTTAAGGACGCTCTCAAGGCAAATCTTTAAAAATGCAGTATAAGGATGGAAAATTGGGAAACACTGGCCTGTAAGCGCACCAATTGGAGAACAGCCTTTACCAAAGGTGTCATGGACTTTGAAGAAGCACGAACTCAGGATGAAAGGAAGAAACGAGCTAAGAGGAAAGCACGTTTGGCAAATCCTCACTGTGATCAACCCGGAAACCTATGTCCCCACTGTGAAAGGACATGTGGATCCAGAATTGGCCTCCACAGTCACTTACGGACACACTGTTAAGACCGCGTTCATGGAAGACAATCTTACTCAGCCACGAGTGATCGCCACAGAAGATGCCCGAGTCCTTTCTAATTCCTGGCTGCAAGTGCTGCAATGGCTAGGCAAGTTTCTTGGCAATAGCCTAAGTATTGGTCGTTAACATAACAAAGTAAGTGGCTCTATGACAGAGGACAATAGGTGGGTCTCCCTCCCCCAACTGTCTGTTAGAAAAACAAAAGCCAGAGTTGAGGTTTGTGAGCTAGGAGATGGAGACTGCAGGCTGGGCAGCTGAGAGATAGAGCCATGCCTGATTTCTGGTGGAATCCAAGGCTGTGGCTATTGGGATAAGTAAGACTCTCCTGGGGTTTTAATTCTGTGAACCCCTCCATCACAGGCTCAGGTTGAATATGTGTGTAAATAAACTGCCAAGAGGAAGAGGGACAACCATTGAAAGGCATCTTGAAAAAATAGCTCAGGCTACTGAGAATGGGTTGATGGGTGCTTGAGCCTGTTGAAAATAATTCTGAAGAGTTTCTATGTTACAGAAGTACTATTCTGCAATACAAAGAGACAGAGTGGAGTATTACGTCTGGCCTGCTTCCAAATACATTTGGATTGAGTGGTTCAAGAGGGCTTCAAAATGAATTATGGGGCCATTTCTTCAAATAAAACAGATATAATTACATGTTTCCTTAAAAGATATGAGACATAGCAAGAGTATGGGACAATTCAGAATTGGGAGGGCAAAAATCAAAAGGATGGAAGAAGGATAACAAACAAAGGAGGAACAGAAAGACAAAGCAACCTGAAGCACTATGTTCTTCAGTCATAAAACTATCCATAGCTGCCCAATCATTAAAGCAAAAGTGTGTGCATGTAACAAGAATATACGTATGGTCCCTATGCATAGTATGACTTTTGTTAAGCAGCCAATGTTATATTAGGGTCGTTGTTCTGTCTTTGATAATGCTCATCTTCTGCTGAGGTTAAATCAGTTTAGACACAATCTAGTCTTACATTGTAATTATTATTTTTCTATCAGTTAGAATCAGCTGCCAATTTATGGCATCTAGTGACATGCATTTGAAACCAAACTGATAGCAACAAAGAGTCCTGAACAGGAAGATCTTGGTGTGTATTCCCTACTCAGGAGATGGGGCTGATTACAAGGGAAGCACATTTTCTCAAGCCCAAATTCAAACCCTGCTTCGGCTCAGTCTTCCATGGGCAGTGAATGGATTAGTTCTCCCCTCATCCCACTTTCCTTACAAAAACCGAATGGTGTATTAAGGAGAAAGGTTATTCATGTTAGCTCCCAAAATTCAATTGTCTTTTCATTACAGGCATTTTATTAAATATGCTATGGTCTGATGATGTGCGTACAGATGAATATATATGAGAAAATGAGAACAGAAAGTAGAACAGTAGAGTTGGAAGGGACCACAAGAGCCATCTAGGCCAACCCCCCTGCAATGCAAAAAACTTCTGCCCCATGTGGGCCTCAAACTCACAACCCTGAGATTACAAGTCTCATGCTCTACCAACTGAGCTATCCAGCAGCTAGAGAAGAGAACAGGAACTGCTGGGTTGGACCATCTAGGCTAGGGATGGGAAGCTGTTACTCTCCAGATGTTGCTAGACTTACGGCTTCCGTCTTCTTTTCTTCTTCTTTTTCTTCTTTGGTGATCACTCGTAGCCGAGTAAGATTGTCTTCTATAAACACGGTTTTAACAATGAGTCCATAAGTGACTGTGGAGGCCAATTCTGGACCCACATGTCCTTCCACACTGGGGACATTGGTCCCTGGGCGGGAGTTGATCACGGTGTGGATTTGCCAAACGTGCCTTCCTCTTAGCTCGTTTCTCCCTTTCATCCTGAGTTCGTGCTTCTTCAAAGTCCATGACTCCTTTGGTAAAGGCTGTTCTCCAACTGGAGCACTTGCAGGCCAGTGTTTCCCAGTTGTCAGTGTTTATACTACATTTTTTTAGCTTTGCCTTGAGACAGTCTTTTGTTGACCACCAGAATTACACTTTCCATTTTTAAGTTCGGAATAGAGTAGTTGCTTTAGAAGATGATAATCAGGCATCCATACAACATGACCAGTGCAACGAAGTTGATGTTGAAGAATCATTGCTTCAACACTGGTGATCTTTGCTTCTTCCAGTACACTGATATTAGTTCACCTGCCTTCCGAAGTGATGTGTAAGATTTTTCGGAGACACTGTTGATGGAATCTTTTGAGGAGTTGGAGATGGCGTTTGTAAGTGGTCCATGTTTCACAAGCATACAGTAAGGGTGGTAGTGCAATAGCTTTGTAAATAAGCATTTTGGTTTCCCTGCGAATGTCCAGGTCCTCAAACACTCTGCACTTCAATCGGAAGAAAGCCGCACTCGCAGAGCTCAAGCAATGCTGGATTTCTGCATCAATGTTGACCCTTGTGGGAAGATAACTGCCTAGGTAGGAGAAGTGATCAACATTTTCCAACGTTACACCATTGAGTTGGATTTGTGGCGCTGCAGAGGGGTTGTTTTGTACTTGTTGGTGCAGCACTTTGGTTTTTTGGATGTTGAGCGACAGGCCAAGCTTTTCGTAAGCTTCTGTGAAGATATTTAGGATTGTTTGGAGGTCATCCTCTGAGCGTGCGCACACTACATTGTCATCAGCATACTGAAGCTCTATGACAAAAGTTACAGTAACCTTACTCTTTCAGCCTGCTCAGATTGAAGAGCTTTCCATCTGTTCAATACATGATTTCTACTCTGGTGGGGAGTTTCCCTTCGACAAAGTGTAGGATCATGGCAATGAAAATAATGAACAGAGTTGGGGCAATAACACAACCCTGTTTAACACCTGATCCCACTGTGAATGGTTCACTTTGAGAGCCATTGTTATCTGTGATTGTTGCTGCCATATTATCATGGAGGAGCCAAATGATGTTTACAAATTTATCTGGGCAGCCAATTTTCAGAAGGACAGTCCACAGGGCATTGCGATTTACAGTGTCGAAAGCCTTACTCAGGTTGATAAACAACATATACAGAGGTTGGTTTGGCTCTCTGCATTTTTCCTGAAGCTGTCGAGCGGTGAAAATCATGTCCACTGTCCCCCTAGAAGGCCAAAAACCATTTTGGGATTCAGGAAGGGTCACCTCGGATATTGTTAAGAGACGGTTTGCTAAGATCCTTGCAAGAATTTTGCAGGCCGCAGCTAATAGAGAGATGCCTCAATAGTTTGTGCAATCAGTTCTGTCACCTTTTTAAAAGAGATTGATAATTTTAGCATCCCTAAAGTCTGCTGGGATCGCTTCTCTTTCCCAGATTTTTCCAATGAGCTTGTGAAGTTGTTGTGTAAGTTCAATTCCACCCACTTTGAAGATTTCAGCAGGTATTCCATCAGCTCCACTGGCTTTGTTGTTTTTCATTTGGTTAATAGCTGTACACAACTCTCCCAGATTTGGAGATACTGCAGGCTCATCTCTAACTTGTTTTTGCGGAAATTGTGAGAGGACCTCAGCAGCTATGGGGGAGTTGTGGTTAAGGAGATGTTGGTAGTGTTCTTTCCAGCACGGTGTAATAGCTTCTTTATCTTTTAGAAGTGTGGTACCATCTGCTGAGCATAGTGCGCATATGCCATGATTTATTGGCCCATAGATGGTCTTTGTGGCTTTAAAGAAACTCTGTGCATCATGAGTGTTGGCTAAGTTCTGGATCTCTTGAGCTTTTTTCATCTACCAGGTGTTTTTTAGTTCTCTGGTTCTTCTTTGAACCTCAGCCTTAGCGTTGGCATAGGTTTTTTCTTAGTGGCAGTTTCTATCTCTTTGCCAGATCTGAAAGGCCTTCCTTTTCTTGTCAATCATGCGTTCAATCTCACTGTCATTCACTCAAGGTGGTAAAGTCAAAAAGAAGGAGCTAGACAAAGAATGATCCAAGAAGTCCTCAACGGCACAACAGGCTGATGATAACAAGCGATATGTTACAACGGCTGTGAAGGCGGACGAAGGCTGCAGCAGATAGGATCTACCGGTTCATCGTCACTACTCATGCCATTGGAACAGAGCCCTACTGTGAAGACAGCTCCTGTAACCTCTACTGACCACACTGACTGGGACTGATGGGAATTGGGAGTCCAACAATGCCTGGAGGACCACAGGGTCACCATCCCTGATCTAGGCCAAAATCCTGCCTCCAACATTCTGTGCATTCACAAGCAGGTCAGACAGGTGATCCCCTTTCTCTGTTGTGTGTTCCCAGGTGCCTCTGTAGGAAGCACCATTTAGCTATACAGTCAAACCTTGGTTCTCCAACGGCTCCATTTTTTAACGTTTTGGCTCCCAAATGCCGAAAACCCGGAAGTAACTGCTCCAGTTTTCGAACAATTTTTGGAAGCTGAATGTGCCACGTGGCTTCCATTTTGAGTTTTCCTATTGTATTGATGCTTCCACTTTCAGTTTATGGTTGTCAAGCATTTCGGAAGTCGAACAGTCTTCTGGAATGGATTAATAGTAATAATAATAAAAATAAATTTTTATTTATACCCCGCCCTCCCCAGCCAAGACCGGGCTCAGGGCGGCTAACAACCAATAATAAAAACAAGTTGATTAAAATACAATTTAAAAGATTAAGATACAATATTAAAACAATTAGGGAGCAATCTCATCATAGGAGGAGAAAGGAAAAAGAAAAAGGGGGAGGGAATCAAACTGATTCTGAGCCAAAGGCCAGGTGGAACAACTCTGTCTTACAGGCCCTGCAGAAAGAGATCAGATCCCGCAGGGTCCTGGTCTCAAGAGACAGAGCATTCCACCAGGCCGGAGCCAGTGTTGAGAAGGCCCTGGCTCTGGTTGAGGCTAATCTAACTTCCTTAGGGCCCAGGACCTCTAGGGTGTTGCTATATATGGACCTTAAGGTCCTCAGTGGGGCATACCAGGAGAGGCGATCCTGTAGGTACGAGGGTCCTAGGCCATGAAGGGCTTTAAAAGTCAAAACCAGCACCTTAAATCTGACCCTGTACTCCACCGGGAGCCAATGCAGCTGGAAAAGCACTGGGTGAATATGCTCCCATGGCAAAGACCCTGTGAGGAGCCTCGCTGCAGCATTCTGCACCCGCTGGAGTTTCTGGGACAGCTTCAAGGACGTTCAAAAACCAAGGTTTGACTGTATCTACAAGCTGCTCTAGCTTTTAAAATGATGGCTTGTTTAGTTGGCAGTACAACTACTAAACTAGACATTCCCAATATATTGTACACAGGAATGTAAAAGAAGGGAATGCAGGTATTTAGGTGTTGTTTCAAACACTACTAAAATCCAGTTTGTTCATTGTGTCCACGTTCATCCCTATAATAATTTTGCATTCTTGTAAGAAGCTCTGCTCCCACTCCTATGTAAATGGCTAGATTTTAAAAAGGGGTCCGAAAGTCATATGAGGGGGATTTGGTGCCAAGAAGACGCCTCTAGGTCACTCAGCACGTTCGCTGCACAATTCCTGAAACTTTCTGCACGGCCGTTTCTGCTTTTTATTTATTTACTACCTACCCACCTGCATTTTTGCAGCTTTCCATAAAACATGAAAATACGGTATAAAACAATAAAAATGATGAATTGACTAAAAAGCTCTGAAACACAATCATGTACTTAGAAACATAGGAAGCAGCCTTAAGCTGACACAGACCATCGCTCCATCTACCATCGTTTGTCAGGGAGACATTCCCTGGGATCTTTTGTATGCAAGGCAGATGCTCTGCCACTTAGCTTTGTGAATTGTGTTGGGGAGCCCTCTGCATGAAGAGTTTATAGTCAGCACCACTTGCTTGGTCTCACTACCAAAACTATCAATGTCTCTGGTAGAACCCCCTGGAAGGATTATTCATCAGAATAGCTAAAGCCATCTCAATCCGAAACCCAGGTCGAAATCCAGATGAAATGGATTGCATGCATAGAGTTTGGATTTTAATCTTCTCCAATACATTTTCTATATTGATGTGTGTGGTTTTCCCCCACCCCACCCCCTACTCTCTGACATCCTAATAGACTATGATTCCAGAATTAACCCTGGCTGGGAGAAATGTGTATCTTTGCAAGAGAGAGGGTTCAGCTCTCCTCATCCATGTCTTTGCTCTTCAAACTCTATACACAGTTGGAGAAGGCCTCAAATGAATCTTCTACACTCACATGTAGTTTGATTTGCCACACTCTCTCTCTCTCTCTCTCTCTCTCTCTCTCTCTCTCACACACACACACACACACACACACACACACACACACACAGATCCCTACTTAGTCTATCTCATTTCCAGAAAAGATAACTCTTTGTGTTTGTGCATTTAGTTGCTTTTGTACCCAAGGCTCAGAAAAGCAGTCTCTTATGAAGTTAACCTAGCCTTTGAAGTATAGGTTTCACAAATTACAATGACTGTTCGGATTTTGTTTTAATTTCATCTGCTTTGAAGTCAGGTCCTTTTGCTGTTTCCCGTTTTTTGGCATCAGATACACACTGACATATGGTTAGGTAATATCTTCTATAATAATTCATTTCACAGTTTACATTGCTAACCACGGTCTG